CAATGATGACAGAAATTCAAGAAGACACAAAGAAATGGAAAAATATTCTGTGCTCATGGAGTGGAAGAATTCATATCATTAAAACGACCATATTACCCAAAGAATGGACATCTTTGTCATCTTGTCCCTGATTTTAGAGGAAAAATTTTCAACCTTTCACCATATAGTATGTTTGTTGTGAGCTTGTCATATGTGGCCTTGATTAGGTTGAAGTACATTCCCTCATCCACTTTGTATAAACCTCCTAGAAGAAAACATAAGTGGTAAGCTACTTGACAGTGATCTTGGCAAAAAATCTGTGAATCTGAATCCAAAAAAGAGGCAATAAAATGAAAACCAAACAAGTGGGACTACATCAAACTAGAAAGCTTCTGCACAGCAAATGAAACAATCAACAAAATAGAAAAGCAACCTACTGAATGGGAGAAAATATTTTCAAATCATGTATCTGATAAGAGATTAATATCCAAAATATATAAAGAACTCATAAAATTCAATAGTAAACAAGCAAACAATTTGATTTCAAAAAATGAGCAGAGGATATGAATGTACATTTTTCTAAAGAAAGCATACAGATAGTCAACAGACACATGAAAAGCTCAACATCACTAATGATCAGGGAAAGGCAAATCAAAACCACAATGAGCTATCACCTAACATCAGTTAGAATAGCCATTACCAAAAAGAAAAAAAAAAGAAATAAAGCATTGATAGGATGTGGACCAAAGGGAACTCTCACGCACTGTTGGAGGAAATGTAAATTGGTGCAACCACTATGAAAAACAGTATGGGGTTGATTTTCTCAAAAAATTAAAAGTAGATCTAACATATGATGCAATTATTCCACTTCTGGGTGTCTATCTGAAGAAAACAAAAACACTAAATAAAAAAGCTGTATGTACCTTCATGTTCTTTACAGCATTATTTACAATAGCCAAGATAAGGAAGCAATATAAATATACACTGATAGATGAGTAGATAAAGGAGATCTGATATGCACACATAAATAGAATACCACTCCACCATAAAGAAGAATGAAATCTTGCCATTTACAACAACATGGATGAACCTTAAGGGAATGATGCTAAATGAAATGTCAGACAAAGAAAGACAAATGCATATGATTTCATTTGCATGTGAAATCTAAAAAATAATACAAGTGAACAGCAAAAGAAAACAAAACAAAAGTCATAGATACAGAGAACAAAATGGTGTTTGCCAGAGGGGAAGGGTGATAGGGAGAGGGTAAAACAGGTGAAGGGGGTCAAGAGGTACACACTTCTAATTATAGAATAGGTCATGGGGATGTAATGTAGAGCATGGTGACTGCAGCCAGTAATATTGTAGAGCATACTTAAAAGCTGCCAAGAGAACAAACTAAAAGTTAACTTTTAATGCATGGTGATGGATGGTAACAAGACTTATTGAGGTGATCACTTCACAATGAATACAACTACTGAATCATTACATTGTACACTTGAAACCGATGTGTGACATATCAATTACACCTCAACAACAAAAATACGTGTTTTAAAAGATGGAAATAATCTTGCCTAAGCCAAGACCAGTCTAAGATTCTCCTAAAGCGTCCAGATATTCATATGAGAGCATTCCCTGGCTCACAGAGCCTTACTCCTCTTTAAACATTTGTTTGGTAAATCAAAATGTGACTTTTTTTTTCTTGTTTGGCAGGCAGGAAACGACAAATCAAGGTCTTAAGGGACTAACAAAATATGTAGTTAGACACCATCAGTCACCATAAAAGAGCCTGCTTTTCCTTATGTCAGACAAAGGTACATTTAGAACTTTCCAGTTCAACTAAAACACTAACTCTCTAAGACCATAAGCCCAGTAAGCAGTGCTAGTCACACTTCTCCACTGGGAAATGAAGCTACAATGTTGGGCAGTGAAAACATGTGAGACCAGGAACAGACCTGGACTCCCAATCTTCCCTGCCACCTTCAACCAGACACTTTCTTAATTTTCAAACTGGAAGCGTGGAGAGAATAAATGATCTACTAAACTCTTTTCCATTCTAACTGTCTTTAATCCTACAATTCTAAAAGGGAGGTCAGGTAAAATACTCCTGGCATGAAGACATTTTGAAATTTCTATCAGCCACAGTGATACAAGAAAAAGAAAGGAGAAGAGATTGAGAGAGGGGTGCCCATTTGGCAAAGCTGATGAGGCAAAGACCTGGTATTTTGTTGACACAAGCAGCCTCCCTTCTGGGTTTAGTGTTTGTGGGTTTTTTAAAAGGTGCTTCCCAAAATAATCAACATTAAAATTTTAAGTGACTTATGTGTATAGCTAAATGATCAATTGATGTTTGTACCATAAGGGCTTTCTTTGCTCTTTTATTGTTATAAAAAGGTTAAACAATATGCTTATTTATTTCATAGCTTCACAAACAGGAAGGAGGCTTTAAATGGCTCAGTTTCACAATTTGGGGTAGATATATATTTAAAGAAATATTGCATAATTGCATAATGCACACTGCCTCTTCCTAAAATGCATCATACCAGAGCCAATTTTGGAAAACACAAATATGGGGTGGGTATATTTTGAAAACTATGTGAACATAATAGATTCTTAATTAATATGTGTGGCTTTTATGGGAAATATTTGTTATTTTAGGGCATCTGTCATGCAAAAACAATTTCTGCTAGTGAAGAAAGTTAAAAAGAGCATGTAGTTTAAATTTTGTTTCTGAGTTATACTTCTCATGTAAATGCCCCAGTTACTTTTGTCCTAAAGCATTTTAGTGTTCTATTAGAGAACACTAACTAACAATATCTTCTAAACTACTAAGTAATTTACATAAGTTTCATGTATAACCTTTATTCGTGTGGCATTGATAAGTGCAAATCATAATTACATTTGTCATTATATCATCTGATTCTCATTCAGCACGATGGAAGTGACTTTATTCCTCATTTAGACAAGGAGGAAATTAGGCTCCACATTTTTTATTTGCCTAAGGAATATGAGCTAGAAAGTTCTAAGATGAGAATTTGAAACCTGGTATTCCTATTCCAGTTGTGGTCCTTCTTCCCCATCCTCTATTCCTTTCTGCACTGTGGTAACACAGTACATTGAAAGGATTAAAAGATGGATTTTAGAGTCAAACAGAACTGGGTTCAACTCCTGCTACTGGCACTGCCTGGTCCTGTGCCCATGGGCAAGCTATTTTCTTCTTTGAGACCCATTTGTAAATTAAGCTAAAAATAGTTATATCCCACCCCACCCTAACAACACACACCATGGGACTGTGGGAAGGATTAAATGGAATAATGCATGAAAAGCACATAGCAGAACGTTCCATAAATGTTAGCCATTGTTATGTTATTATGTAATCTAGAAAATATGTTCAGTTACACTGCGTGAAATACTTTCCATTTTTCAAAGACACAAATGATACATGTGAAATCAAACCCTGAAAATTAATTTTTTAAACAGTAAATTCCTATGCCAGATGCAAAGGATAGTATTTCATGGACAAAGACTCTAGTTTTTTAAGAGAAGTTATCTTTTGCTTTCTGTGGTTTCAAAACATTTCTTAATGTTAATATCTTCTTAATAATCTGAGCCATATGAAATTGTCCTCTATTTAAAGTCAGATACTACAGAAAAGTGGCAATTTCATATGGCTCAGCCCAACAGATCAACAAACTACCCAACAGGAGATTTTTCTAGTTACAAAGGGATTATTGAAGAAGTTGAACTTGAAAATTATTTCATTTTCAACATATTCTCATTTTAACAGATAAGGAAGGAATGATGCCACACTCCCTAGAATTAAGAATTAAAGCATACAAGCTTCTCTTAAAGCATACAAGCACATACATGTATACCCCAGCTCCAAATAAAATCCCAAGAGTAAAATTAGGTCTCAACCCCTGAAAATTCCCTAGGAGGGCACCAAAAGTACTGGAGAGCAAGCATGCTGAGGAAATTGGCTGTTGTTAAAGTCACCACCTGTGGTCTTGCCTAATGTCTGAAAGGGAATGTGCCATGAGTCCTGTGTATTGGGGAAGATGGGGTGGATGTCCAGGGGGCAAGGGTAACGAGTTTGGAATACCCTGATGGAGAAGTCCTTCTCTGTGGCACCCTGCTTGCCTCCAAGTGGGCGTTTGTATGCTCTTTGTTTACTTCTTTTTGTCTGTATGTCCGTGTCTTCACGCTTCTGGGTGCTCCTGGTTTGCTCCCGGCCACGTCTCTTGTGTTGGAGAGGGGTGACTTTGAGCCTGTCGGCTTCTGTGCCTGCGCCCTCGTTGATGCGCTGGATGGGTGTGTCTGAGTGTCTGTGGTTCCGTATAAGTCTGAGCATGTACGTCGGGGTACAGTGTACCTGTCTGTGCGTGTCTCGGTGGGCACTCTCATCTATTTCCGAATGCGAGGGAGTGCCGGAGTATTGCCATCTGCCCTGAGACCTCAAGCCGCAGAGGAGCCCCAGGCAGACAGGTAGCAGCCACGAAAGAACCGGCACCTTCTAGTTGGCTGGTAAGCTCGCCAGAGCCGGCTTCAGCCTCCGGAGCCAGCCGAGGGAGCCCCGAGGGAGTGGCGGCCGACCCGCCCTCCTAGAGCAGTTGGGTCCCGCCCGGGCCAGCGCCAGGAGCAGGCTGGAGAGGGGAGGGAAGGGGCGGGAGAGGGCGTGGGCCTCGCCCCTTTGGGGCTTCCCGCGTTCTATTGGTTGAAAGTTCTAGCACGTCACGGGGAGGGCAGTTCCCCTAAAGTCCTGGGCACATAACGGACAGCGCGCACTCAGAGACGGCTTCTCCAGAACGCAAGCTGGAACTGGCTGGAACTGACGGGCACTGCGAGCCCAGAGCACCTCCGTAGCTGAGTGCACCACGCACCCCTACCACACCCACACCCACGGCCGCTGAATGAGTCTTCCAGGTGCTCGCTTGCTGCCCGCAGCGCCCCGCCGGAGGTCCGCTCGCTGAGGGCGGCTGGTGCGCCGGCAGCCTGTGTGCTCACCTGCCAGCCTGCGCGCCATGGGGCAGCCCGGGAACCGCAGCGTCTTTTTGCTGGCGCCCAACGCAAGCCACGCGCCAGACCAAGACGTCACGCTGGAACGGGACGAGGCCTGGGTGGTGGGCATGGGCATCCTCATGTCGCTTATTGTCCTGGCTATCGTGTTTGGAAACGTGCTGGTCATCACAGCCATTGCCAAGTTTGAGCGTCTGCAGACGGTCACCAACTACTTCATCACCTCCCTGGCCTGTGCTGACCTGGTTATGGGCCTGGCAGTGGTGCCCTTTGGGGCCTGCCACATCCTTATGAAAATGTGGACTTTTGGCAACTTCTGGTGTGAGTTTTGGACTTCCATTGACGTGTTGTGCGTCACGGCCAGCATTGAGACCCTGTGCGTGATCGCTGTGGATCGCTACTTTGCCATCACATCACCCTTCAAGTATCAGTGCCTGCTGACCAAGAATAAGGCCCGGGTGGTCATTCTGATGGTTTGGATCGTGTCTGGCCTTACCTCCTTTTTACCCATTCAGATGCACTGGTACCGAGCCAGCCACAAGGAAGCTATCAGCTGCTATGCAAAGGAAACCTGCTGTGACTTCTTCACGAACCAGCCCTACGCCATTGCCTCCTCCATTGTGTCCTTCTACCTGCCCCTGGTGGTCATGGTGTTCGTCTACTCCAGGGTGTTCCAGGTAGCCAAAAGGCAGCTCCAGAAGATCGACAGATCGGAGGGCCGCTTCCACGCCCAAAACATCAGTCCAGCGGAGCAAGATGGGCGGAGCGGTCTAGGACAACGCAGGACCTCCAAGTTCTACTTGAAGGAACACAAAGCCCTCAAGACTTTAGGCATTATCATGGGCACTTTCACCCTGTGCTGGCTGCCCTTCTTCATTGTCAACATTGTGCACGTGATCCAGGATAACCTCATCCCTAAGGAAATTTACATCCTTCTAAACTGGTTGGGCTACATCAACTCCGCTTTCAATCCCCTTATCTACTGCCGCAGCCCAGATTTCAGGATTGCCTTCCAGGAGCTTCTCTGCCTGCGCAGGTCTTCACTGAAGGCCTATGGGAATGGCTGCTCCAGCAACAGCAATGACAGGACTGACTACACAGGGGAACTGAGTGGATATCACCTGGGGGAGGAGAAAGACAGTGAACTGCTCTGTGAAGACCCCCCAGGCACCGAAGACTTTGTGAACCAGCAAGGTACTGTGCCCAGTGATAGCATTGATTCACAAGGGAGGAATTGTAGTACAAATGACTCACTGCTGTAATGCAGATTTTCTACTTTTTAAGACACCCCTTCTCCCCAATTCCCCGCAACAAAACACTAAACAGACTATTTAACTTCAGTGTAATAAATTTAGAATAAAATTGTACAGAGATGTGCAGGAGGAAAGATATCCTTCTGCCTTTTTATTTTTTATTTTTTTAAGTTGTAAGAAAATATATTTGAGTAACTGTTTCTTGTACAGTTCAGTTCCTCTTTGCCTGGAACTTGTTAAGTTTATGTCTGAAGGGCTTCAGTCTCAAAGGACCTGGGGCTGCTATGTTTTGATGACTTTTCCTGCATATCTACCTCATTGATCAAGTATTAGGGGTAATATATTGCTGCTGGTAATTTGTATCTGAAGGAGACCTTCCTTCCTGCACCCTTGGACTGGAAGATATTGAGTCTCTCGGACCTTTCGCTGTGAACATGGACTCTCCTCGCCCCTCTTATTTGCTCAAACGGGGTGTTGTAGGCAGGGACTTGAGGGGCAGCTTTGGTTGTTTTCCTGAGCAAAGTCTAAAGTTTACAGTAAATAAATTGTTTGACCATGACTTCATTGCACCTGTTTCTCCAAAACCCCTTGACTGGAGTATGCTTGCCTCCCCCACTGGAAACTGCATGCAGGTAACTATTTGTAATAACTGCCCAGTGACTTAATGTGGAATGACACAGGAGTGACACGCACTGATTGCTTAACCCTTTCGTTTGCCTTTGAATCTGCCACTGCAAACCTGCGTCTCTTCCAACGCTGCTCCCACATCAGTTCTTTCACTGTGTGCTCACTCAGCATAGCTCATCTTGCTCTTCCTACGAGTATTATTCCTGTGTTGTCACGTCAGAAACACTGACTCATAGAACTGGAGTTATGGGCATTTGTTGTGTGCCTCTGCTACCCACCTCCCGGTTCTCCTTGCTTTGCAGCTGTTTATATTTTTATCTTTGTCTTTTCTTACAGTAGAGATCTTCGTACCGCACCAGGGTGTGGCATTTTGAGGATAAGGAAGTTCTTGTGAAAAAGCTGCTCAAACATAGCCCCAAAATTCCAAGGGAAATGAAAAAGTCATGGGTTATAGGGAGAGAAGCTGGAAAACACGTCACTGGTGAATACCTCATGATCTAGAAACAGGGTTTGAACCCTCCTCCTTTTGAACTGCTGTCCTTTTTTGCCCCCTCTCCCTGTGACTCTAGTCACTTCAGGATAAAGCAAGATTTCTCAACCTCGTACTTTTAACATTTTCAGCCAGATAATTCTCCGCTGTGGAGGACAGTCCTCCGCATTGTCGGATGTTCAGCAGCAGCCCTCATCTCTACCCACGAGATGCCAGGAGCATCCCCTGAGCTGTGACAACCAGAAATGTCTCCAGTCACTGCCACATACCCCTACCTTGAGGGATGAAATTGCCCCTGGTTGAGAACCAGTTATAAACTTCAAAACTCTAAGCAGATGTTTAGATTCTGCCTAATATAACCACTTTATTTTGCAGAGCACCAGAGAGGGATTTTTCACAGTTTACCCAGTTAGTGACAGACCCTGAGCCAGTGTTCTACTCCATCACACTGCCTTCCAAGCTTATTCTCAAGCTGCCCACAGACTGACTGTGAGACGTGAATCGTTTGGGAGGGTTTATCAATGAAGGCGAGGCCTCTGAGCCATTACTGCCTGTTTGTGGAGAGATTATAATACTGTTAAGAGGCATGTAAGGGAAAATCATGAAAGTAAACACATTTCTTTTCCCACCCCCTTTCTATTTTTGCCTGTGTGTTTGAGCCAGAGCTTGGCCCAGGTTTGACAGAGTGGATCGTCCTCCTTGGCAGCGCCAGCCAGGAGAGGTTCAGCCTGCAGGGTTCTTTGCCATTTCACTCGCTTACAAAGCTGACTCTACTTCTTTCTTCTCTTCTATCCCAGCCAGGGTGCCCAACCAGAAAAGCATTAGTCTTCTCTGCTTCCCATCAGTTCAGTGATGGGGTGTCTCCCGGCGAGCCCTGACATCTCAAGAGAAAGTTAGCTGCCTGTGTTTCTAGAACATGCCATCAGGCTTTGGAGAGTGTGTGCCATTCAGCACTTCTGCTCTTTCTCCAAGGACTTTCATACCTATTATCACATTCTTCTCCTGCTCTGGCCCCTGCACTCAGAGATGCAGGCAGCTTCTCCAGTTAATCTTCACACTCCTCATAGCCTCATGGGATCTCAGACTTGGAAGAGAAAGCATAAAAAACATTTGACATCCAAAGAGACTGAAAGCCCGCAAGGGGGGATGACCTCCCCAAGGTAAGAAGCCAAGGATGTCAGAGTCGGAGCTAAAGCCAGGGAACCCGGCTGTCATACCAGGAACTGGCATATCTCCACCACATTGTCATTGAATTCTGCCCTCACCCTCAATCATGGACTCTTTTCCCTGGGGCTGTCACATTTACAAATTCATTTAAGCAGATGTTTTTATTTCTTTTAAGTCCTTAATAAAGAACACAGGCAATACACAAATAATCTGCAATAGGGACAAGTGAAAGAATTATTCCTTTTTCTCAGCAAGTGTTCACTAGGATATCCTCAGCATTTGGGGAAGTTAGGAGATTCCTTGACTCTTTATGACCTGAAGGGATTTCAAGCCACTCCAGGTAGAAATTTCCATAGTCTTATTTAGAAGGGAAAAAAAGGTGGAAACTTTTCTATCACCATTTGTAAGTCCCATGGACAATAAATATTATTAATAGACAATGTTATATATATCCTTGTTTGACTAGAGGAGCATACAATGTAATTTCAATGAAAAACTCTGCTATGCATGTTAGTTCATAAAGTCCCAGCTAAAATAGAGTTTAGCCTAATTCAAGTTCATTTAGAAGTACTTTATATAAGAACATTGATCTGTTGTAAGAGTTTGGACAAGCAAGAGCATTTTAAGCCTATCTCAATTCCTTTTCTATCTCCTTTTGTTCTGCTTTGTTTCTTTGTGGAGGCAGGCATTTGTTAGTGTCTCTCTGTCCCTCTGTTTGCTGACAGGCTGGTTACATAAGGTTTGTGTTGGATTCATCATCATAAAGTTGTCTTTGCCTGGACAGCAAGTTCTCGAAGTCTGTCAAATGAGAACCTTATCCTGAGATGTGAGCTGACAGGTGTGCAAAGTGGCAGGCCAGGGTGGGCCTCCTTGCTGAGATCATTATTGGAAGAGGGAATCTGGGGAAAAGGGAGCTGGGAAATAGGAACTGTCCTTACATGATGCTGAGAATGTTTCTGATGTACCTACTGCCTAAAGAAGCATAGACCAGTATCAATCAGAGGGTATGTACAACTACTGTATGCAGCAGGAGAAAAATATAGGTTTTAGTCTCTGAATTCTGGAGCATACTATTAATAACACTATATATATATCTTCTATGAAATCTTACTAAATATTAGGGACTATGTTCGACACTTTTGGGGGCTTCCCTGGTGGCTCAGATGCTAAAGAATCCACCTGCAATGTAGGAGACTCGGGTTCGATCCCTGGGTCGGGAAGATCCCCTGGAGAAGGGAATGGCAACTCAACTCCAGTATTCTTGCCTGGCGAACTTCATGAACAAAGGAGCCTGGCAGGCTGCAGTCCATGGGGTTGCAAAGAGTCAGACAGGACTGAGTGACTAACACTTTCACTTCTTTCACTTTAGGCACCTTTTAGGCATTGTGTGACCTTGACAGTCTCATGAGGTAGGTAGCAAAATTGTGTTCATCTAACAAATGAAGTAACTGAGTTTTAGAAAGGTGAAGTCACTTTCCAAAGTCACATAGCCAGCTAGTTGCAGGGTTAGGACTGGAACCCAGGTCCGTGTGATTCCTGAAGACACGGAAACCAGGGAGCAGCATGCGCCAGTTTATAGTCCATGCCAGAGCAAGTGTAAGAACTGGAAATGCAATACCTTGTTGAGAGAAGAGGGCGATCGCTGTGGGTTGGGGCAGGGAGGAATGTTCCCTTGGAAGCATGTGACTGCAGGGTTTGTTGAGAACTGGGACGGGAAACCAATCACTGAAGTACCTGGTTTGCTTCCCTGAGTCTCTGTTTTGTCTTCTTGTCAGAGAATCAGGCCAGATTGAAAAGAGGATATGAAACTTTAAAACAAGCACAAGGTAAAGCAGGAACACAGTCTCACATCCTGGAAAATTCATTTTCTGGTTCCAAAGTTGGGAAGGTTGGCTACATCGAGCAGGTAGCTGGACATCATGGGAAATATGACCTGCCTTAGTGGCCCTCTGCATGTGCTGGCCGTTTTGAGCTAGGATTCTAGGTCAATGGAGATGAACTTCTGACAACAGAGAGCAATGAGGGTTAACACACCTGGAAGGATGCTTTCTATTGACAGTATAGCCTCCACTAAATTCAGCCCTATGCTAACCCCTACTTCACACAGTGCAAATACAATTTGAAGGAGGAATTTTTGAAATACCTAAGAGAACAAACTTCCCAACCACTTGCAAGAACTTGAGAAATTCTTATGTCTTATGAATAATAGGAGGCAGGGTGAGGTGAAAAGAGGCCTGAACTGGGATTCATGCAACTAGATTTCAGGTCTCAACTCAGACTCTCTTGTTTGCCTGTCTCTTTCTCTCAGGTGGGTAAGGCAGTTTTCCTGTTTTCTCAGTGGACCTCACTTTGCTCATCTGTAGAATAGTGAGGCTTGTGCAGGTGGTCTCTAAGCTCTTCTCAGCTCTGAATTTATATAGCCATTAATTAAGAGGCTAATTAGAGACAGCAGTTTGTTTATAATTAGAGCTGATGACATTTGTCATATAAAGAATGGTTTAATATACCAGGAGTGGTCAGCTTGCAGAAGAGAATGCCATGAAGCACAATTTGGTGCATGATCATTGCCTTCAAATATTTAAGGACCATCTGGGGAAGAGGAGCATGTCTGTTTTATATGACTACCAGAAGGCAAGTAGAACCTTACAGGAAGATAGATTCATGTTCAGGGAAAGGAAAACTTTTCTGAGAGTGAAACAGGTTCTCTATCAGAATAGTGAGTCTC